TAATAAATATAAATGCTGTTCTATATTAAGGTAAAGACTCTAGATCTAACTGAAACAATATTGTTCCCCTGTGTTATTAGATATATATAATAAAACGGTTGGACAAAAAAGAAGAATCAATAAAACCCGTGATCGATTGCTATTACTTCATAAACCTATGGGTCCCTCCCAGCTAAAATTACTACCAAATCTTTGATTCGGATTGCTTAAGGACAAATATAACTTACCAAGAAATGTTAATAGCTTGGGCATCAGACTCGTATGTAGTTCCAAGGTGCCACGTGTTTCCCAGGAGTACTGACGTCGACCACTTCCATTAGTGGTACTACCAATTCCACTGCCATCCAAGGTATGCTCACCACCTGAAGAATTACTTTTACGAACTTCTAGTGGAGCTGAAATAAGCCATCGCTTCTCAGGATCAGCTTGGACTGTTTGTGTTGGTTCTTCTGAACTAGTAGATGTGTGTTTTGGCAAAGGATTACGTGCCGTAACCTCCAGTGTACATCCTGTTGCTTCACACACTATTCTTATAGGTTTTAATAAACTAAGCTGGAAGGTATGAGGTTTGACACGTGAAGATACTTTCTTGATGACTTTCGTACCTTCAGATGCTCCCCCTTCAACCTGTGATGCTGTTTCACCGGATGTTTCAGTTAAACTTGCCTCTTCTCCAACTTTGGGGGAAGGTGAAGAAGTACATTCAATTTCACTATCTTCAGAGCTTTCTACTCGGTGGTCATCATCAACTATGGCACATGTCATAAGGTGTTTCAATAATGTGTTGCAAATAGAAACAGGAAGACTAACAAAGTCATTTCCCTTAAAATAATCGCGCACAGTAACCCATGGTTGGGGTATCATCCTTGTAGTAGCTGCATTTGAGTTGTTGTTAACCACAGGACCTTCTCTTATTTCTAATACATATGCTTCACGGACTGGATTCGATCGACGACTTCTGATCACTTGTCGTAACAGTGGACGATTCATTTCGTTCAAACCAAGTATATGTGGGGGTCGTCTACGGGGGTTTCTGGTTGTTCGAACTGTAGGCGGTCTGACGAACATGTGTACACAATGCAAGATAAACTTTCAAAGTTGAATGCTTGTTATAATGGACTAAATAAATAAATAAATAGATGAATATTATGTACCAACAATTAATGGTTTAATCACAGATTTGATAGGAATGTACAAAACAATTTTACTGTGGAATGTATACGAGTAATCCTAAGATCAGTGAGCGAGAATTTGATGAGTCGAAATCTTAGAAATGTAGGTAGAATAATTGATTTCAATTTTTTTTAAAAATAACATGGACGTCTTCTTATCGATCGATCAATGGTGACCTACAAATTGCGTTAGAACATTCGTTAATAATATTAACCTTGTCATAGAGAGTGATATACAGACATGTTTTGTGCTATACAAGACCATAAACTACGCATTGATGTGTTATGTGTGTATCAAATTTTTTTATATTTTTTTCACATTGTATTACTGTAAAGCGGTAGTAACTAAATGTTACAATAATTTATTTGCATATTAAATTAATAAAGTTTGATTTTAAAATTATATCGAAGTAGGGTAAAGATCTTTTCTCAGTCCTAAATACTGAACATCAGTTAGGGGAATTAGTGTGGTAATCCAATAAACCATTAGATGAAATTCAGTAATTGCTTGAGTAATTTTACAAAGAGTTATTATGATTAAATTGGTTGAAGTTAGACATTAACACCGTTGGAGGTCGGTTCAGTGGTTTAATGGTTAAGCGCTCACGCACGAGACTGATAGATCCTGGGTTCGGGTCTCTCCGGGGGCGGGGTCGTGGATGCACGCTGCTGAGGAGTCCCATACTAGGACAAAACGGCCATCCAGTGTTTGCTTGGTTTCAACTATTGAAATTATTATTATTCACAAATTGATTTGGATTTCAGATGCTGTTCAGTAAAATACCATATCAGGAAAAATAACTCGTAGATGAGAGTAATTAAGAAAAAAAACAAATGTATACAATTTTTAGTATGGGGTTGTGGAGATTGGTGGATTTTATTGAAATTATGAACCGATCTAAATTAGAATATCATTGAAAACCTAGAAGCATTGGGTGGCCGTTTCGTCCTAGTATGGAAATCCTCGCCTGTGCAAATCCACAATCTCTCACACTGGAAAATAATCCAGGACCTTCGATCCCGTTTGCGGGACCGTGCGTGCATACATACTAGGACGAAAAGGCTATTCAGTGCTTCCAGGCTGTTAATGATGTTCTAACTTAAATCGATTCATGACTTAAATGAAAGCACTTGTAAAAGTTTACAACCTATCATGAAGTAAATTATTGTTGAATTGAAGTGAAACTATCACGGTGGCTTGCATAGTTCCTTCCCTGACATAATTCTTGGAGAAACAACAAGCAATTGCATTGAAATATGCATACATTAAGCCCAATAGACTTGGTAATTCAACAAATAAACTAGATACTGAATGGGAATTTCTTGCAGCATTGAATACGTGTTCTGAGAATTCTCCGTTCTAATTTTTTATGGGATATTGAATAATGTGATTAGTATTATTAGACTGCGGTTATCTGGAACTTCTTCAATGTTCACTAAGTGTGTCCTCATAATTTTCAATAAGTTTTCCATTCATTGGAGCTATTCAGCAGTAAGCATTGAACCCAGGTTTCTTACCAATTGTCACTTATCATCAAGGCTTACCTCAAATACTGATGGAATTAATGCTCCTCGTGGAACTTAGACGCACATCACATAACACACTCTCATAATGACTGAGTTATTCAACCAGTGGCTGATCTCCTGTAGTACTGATTTATTTAAATTCATTGGTCACTCACTATTCAATGATTAATCACTCCATCAACAAAGTGTGTTTGCTGAAGTGCTTTTCAGGCTTTGAGAACAAAGCAAAATAATGTACATTCTCATGTAAATTATACCTGCAGTCTAAGTATTGATACAAAACATCTGAAATTTATACTGTATCGAAAACACTTTATAGTAGATTTTATTGAAAATCAATATTAAGTGTCACTGAATCTAAACTTTAAAGTCGACAGTCCTCTAAAGAATTACTTTAAAATGAATACAATTTTAGACTATTTTTCCAACCTGAGACCTCCGTTATCTACTACTACTACTATCTTGGAGATTAAAATATTCAAAATGGGTTTTCAATAAAATTCTGTTGCATAAAATTCAGTTTAACCATGTACATCACAACCAATAAGTATACTATTACATAGACATTATAAACAAAGATTGATAGTGGCTAGCAATCGAATCCAGAACGCGTGTTTCGTCCTATTTAGGACTCATCAATCAGACGTACCTGTATCACAGAGTTGATGTTCACTCTAAGACTGAAACCCAACACCATTCTCTTCAAACGTCATCGAGTTATCTACTTAGTTACTGAGTTCAGATAGCGATTAACTTGTGAAATGGGGTGGAGCTTTAATTTGTTTTTGTATTGTTTGTTTGAATCTTCCGATTGATTTTTAGAACTGCAGTTGATTAATCTCTTATAACGCTTGTGACCTAAGGTGATGTCGAGGCAATCCACACAGAATGCACATAAGCCACTAAGAAACTGACCAATTTCAATCCTAACCATCAATGGGAAAATTCAACTAATCAATATAGGAATGAATTCTACATAGACAGCTATTTATCAATTCACAGATGGTGCTATCGATTTTAGTTAGCGATAAATGTTGCACAAATACTTCATACTGTTTAACGAACTATTGAATATACAGTTACTGCATTATGAGCAGATATAGAGTGAATTCCCTCGAACAAGGTGACACAGAGAGATAGATTTTCAGATTAAACGATCTGTAATTTGGAATGGTGAAAATGAAAGAGTTTGAAGAAGTGAATCTATTATGTACAAAATTGTTATAAAAGTACTAGATCTAGTGATAAATTCCCATTTTTAGTGTATGAAGATAAAATTTGAATAAGACCAAATGATAAGTTAATTTAGTCGATTGGCTAGTTATGGACTTCTTTGATCACTTTGAATAACAATGAAAACACATTTTCGAATGGGTATCACTTCCCCTAAGTCTGAAGTGTTGCTTCAGGATTGTTCTACATAAACGCTAGAACTTATGATACGGAGTGAATCAGTTAGATGAATCGTTCACTTTACCTATCTTGGAAGTCTCATTTTCCCAGGTAGGTTAGTGTTCGACGATAATGTTCCGTCGTGGATTCGAAATCTGTATTGACTCTAACCAACGTCATCTGTGGCTTAGGCAAGGTGTCTGTTCACCTACCAAAGGAGAAGTATACTGAACAAACATTTCTACTGTTTTGATCTATGGCTATGTGATGTGACTTTTAAAAATAAAGGATGTTAATCAGTGAATAATATTTGATCATAGATGCCTTAAAAGCCTTACTCAAATATGCTGAGATAATCGAATAAGGTTAGACTCATGGCATTGAGTAAAGATGAGAAATCGGTTGATGAGGTAAAAGATCTTCATCAATTCAAGTGATTAAGATTTATATAATGTGTGCTAAACAATCACCTCTCGCCCAACGCACGATATTTTATAATGTAGGAGTGTGTGACTGAAAACGTACAACAGTCAAACCAAGACGTCCTAGCAATACATGAAACCATTAACTATTGGATTAATCTTGGTTAATGGTTACAAACTACCTTTTAGAGGCCCTAGTGATTATTGTAATCAGGGATTGGAGACAACGAGTTATACAGCTCAAAACTAGTCACAATCATACATTCATTCCTTATCGACTGTAAGATTTGCTTACACCTTTTTTATTCCACGAATTTTATGTTGCTTATGTCTAATTAACATAAAAATTTATACATCCGTTGTCATCAGTATAAATTTCAATTGAATGAAATTACATACTTATGTGATTACTATGAGCACTACAACTACTCCTGGAAATAACAAGTAATTTATTCACTCTACACTCTTTAAATATTCACATTAAGATGAATACATGTATAATTTCATGAATTAATAATATAAATTTCAAGGAATTTATTAATTATACATTACTGAGGATTGGATTAACATCAATAAAATGAAAGAATAAACAATGAACAAATTCCCTTATAGATTCTATTTATTACTTCATGTTTCCAGGTGCACACACGTACGCACACGCACATGCACACGCACACGCACACACAAACCTGCACGTTATGCATACAACAAACATATAAATACACAATCTAAATTACACACACACACACGTATCTACACACATACATATCAATATTTGAATAGCCAAAAACAAAAGTGAATCTAAATAGAATATGATGATCCATAGCAAATCAATTAAATAATGATAATCATTGAAATTAGAAAAGTTTTAAGATGAATCACTATGTATTATTGTTTCACTTTGAAATTAATCCATTAAAGGAAATAAATAATAAATTTTTCCTGTTTAAGCAATAACAGTTTTATCTCCAGCCCATGCTTCACATGAATCAGTAAAATATGTAAATAATAAAATGATTAAAGCAGTTAGAAATATACCACCAGGCCATAGAAGACCATGCATAAACATTGATGATGTATATAAACGATGTAGTATAGCTGCAGCATGATTAGAATCTAATTGTTGAATAAGAGGTAGATGATATCTATTAGGTGGTGATTTATTATTCATTGACATTAGCAGAGAATGATTCAATGTTGTAGAAGATTGAGAAATCGAAGGAACAGATAATGATGATGAGGACGAAATGGTATTAGTGAAAGATTGTTGATCATTAGTTAAAATATTATTCGAAAATTGTGGATTATTTGTTAGTGTTGTTGTTGTAATTAATGTTGTATGGGATGGTGTTGGTGTAGCGTAACATCGAAATATATTACGTCGACTTAAATCACGTTTGAATTCTTCCACAGCTAGTTTATTATCTTCTTCACGTCGATGACATGGACTTGTTGCGCACTAACGAATGTAAAAAAAGGGGAAATAATATGAGATTATGTAATGTAAAATATGCAGAGAGTTTTAAAAATAAGACATGACCCCTAAATAACTAAGTGAATATACTAATGTAAAGAGGATTAATGAAAACTGTTGAATTTCATAGTTTTTATGATGAATTCAACCTAGACGACGACTCTTGTTTCTCAATTATTGTAAAGTAAATTATACGATTCAAGAATCTCTACAAACTCCGCTAGTGTCTGATTTTTGAAGATGATTCCTGATGTTCTAGTGATAAACCAAAAGCTGTCTAGTTCACACATGTTGAATGTGAGGCAATTACTCATCGGTGACATCTGGATTTAGTAGTAGAATATCACAAATCGGTTGAAATTAGACTTGTAAACCATTCGATATCGACTCAGTGGTCTAAAAGTCAGGGACTTGCTGAAAGTCCGAAATTCGATCCCCCGTGAAATCGTGAATACGCACTGGTGAGGATTTCCATACATAGTCGAAATAGCTTTCCAGTGCTACTCAGTTTTCAAAAGGTGATGGTAATCAATGATTGGATGACATCACACAGAATTGATCTAACTGAGGCGATTGTGGTCATATTTAATCTTTTATTAAATCATGTATTTCATGTCGTTTCATATTGTGTTTATTCTTTATTCTCATTCATTCTCTTAATAAAATAAATCCATTGAAATGGTTATTACAATTGCAATTTCGCTGATGCTCACTGTAGTGACCTACTTTTACCAAGAGAATGCGATTAATTTAATTGAAACAATTATTATTATAACCAATTGTACCAGTGATTGTTTTACTGTGCTCGTTTGTTTAACTGCGCTAAAGACAGCCCTATTCCTCCTCCATTACTCTCCATTACTTTTCCGCGGATTGTGACCTCGAACGTTCGTACTCTTGCCCGCTGATTCCACTTGTACCCTTTTGGTACGATCTAGGTATCTTTTCGATGCCACGAGATCGCCAACGAATAAATCTGGTTACGTTCAACTTTCGCCTTCCAATTTATTTGGTACGCGTTTCCCTGTACTGGTGCTCATAGTCAACCTCCAATCGACACCACGCTACATCACTATGTCAGTTACATGATACAACCATTTTGTATACATGTATATTAAAAGACTGAATATTATTTTTTGTGTAAATCTTATTAATCAGTTAAGAGACTGAAAGGATGAAAGTTCACACAAGTCAAAATGTGATAAATACTATTGAGTTAAAATACCAATTTTTAATTTCTTGTTTAAACTTTGATCCTCAATTAAATTTTCTCAGTATTTGTTGCCTTTATAGTCTACTTTAGATGATTAGTACATTTCTATATTATATATAATGAAAAAAACTATGTATACAGAAAATGAATTGGGTATAGGTGTAATGTATAGTCGAAGTTAATCGAGTAGGATTTATTTGAAAGAAAAAACGTCTACTTATAAGTATACTATACATTAGATAATGATCATGATGGAATAGTGACGGTTATTGATTGTATCATTTATAATACAAGCATTAAGTAAGATCATTGATCCTTTTTGAAATATTTAATAAAATATCTGTACAACATCTAATAATTTCGAATAGTTTTTCATTTCTTTTGTTATAACCGTGATTAGACGGTAGCGAATTATCGATCGGACCAAAGATGCGTAAAACATGTAAGAACGACCTAGAGTCCCGATTGGCCCTGATTCCCTGTCTAGCCCAGTCAGTTGAGTCCAGAACACAAGTCTTAGCCTCTGCAATATGAATCATTATATTTCAAGCATACTGAGTTTATATACCAAACAAACCGACCACAACGTACCAATAAAATATGAAACAACATTTGTACAAGAATTAGCCAGATGTGGCTGTGACTGAGGGAGGTAGCGATTAACAGACAGTGAATAATTCATGAATGGTAAATCGTATAATAATAGTTTATGGGTCAAAATAAAGCTCATAATAAGAGGGGCATGAATATGAACAGTTTAGTTACATAACGATTATACGATAAAAATATACTCATAATATTGGACCATAAATGGATCTCAAAAATTACCATTCATTATTCTTATCGGGATACAACACCTTTAGTTTACCAATGTTGAATATAAGAGCATGATTTTCACTGACGATTTTTTATTTTATTCATTCCAAGTTATCTATACATGTTATCTGTAAACACGTATTTACAGTACATCTCAACTTTCCAGACGTTAAAGAATAAATAAAGTAGAACTTAAAACTTTGAACGAAATTCTCAATGGAAATTATGTTTCAAAAGGGATTTTTTTCTGAATATTATTAATAATTTCAATAGTTGAGATCATGAGTCAATTGAAGCTAAACTACTATGGAAACCCTGGAAGTACTGGACTACCATTTCGTCCTATCACATAAAACTCTTCAACAGTGCTCATCCAGAACCTCACCTCACAAGATTCAAACTCAAAACTTATCAGTCTCGCATGTAAATCGCTTATTTACAAAACTGATTTCTTAAATCAACTAACCAAACAAACAAAAAAAAATTGATCAAAAACTGCTTCACATATATATTGAACATTGAAAAATGTATAAATAGTCTCAGTGAATTCATTCAAACAAATTTTTTGTTGTTGGATATTTTGATTTAAAAACAAAAATTTTTTTTTATTTTTCAAAATATTATGTATCAATGTACACATTGATTCATTTATAAAAAAACAAAATAATCAATCAACCAATATAAATTGATTTATTGATTCAAATGACTTAACAACTGCAAACTACATACATATCTTCTTGTATTAATAATAATAATAATGATACATTTAAATGATTTGAAACTATTGATTGTATCGATTGGTTTCTAAGAGAAAAAATACATGGTGGAGAAGATTTGTAGCTCAGGTGGATGATTTTGGTGGAGTTTTGTTCTCTGAGCTGGATGGTTTGGTCGTGGAGCTTTCATCGTTCTTCTGAATATATATATATATATATATATATATATATATATATATATATATATATATATATATATATATATACAATTTATGTATATAGATTGTTAGCATATTTGTTTTGCATTTTGTAACCAACCAAACAAACAAACAACAAAAACAACTAGAACAATCATTGATAAATTTTTATGAATAATACTTTGTTGCTAATGATTAGTAGTATATTTTATGAATGAAATAAGAAATAGTTCACTAAGATAAGATAGTTTTCTAGAATTTTTATTGATTTTCTATTCGTTATATATGAAAATGATTGGACAAGAAATAAATATTTCAGTGGTTGATGTTCACCCTGAGACTTAGTAGCTAAGTGGAGAATAAGATAGTGTTTGAAGCGAGTGGTATTAAGTTCGAGTCCTGGAGTAAATATCAAATCTAGGATACAGGTATATCCAATTGATAAGTCCCAAATAGAATGAAACTCGAGTCCTGGATTCCATTGCTATCCACTATCCATATTTGCTTATAGTTTTCAATGTGTTGTTTTATTTATGTGAAAAGTGTGTTTCCTGTTCAATAAAAACTTTCTTTCTTTGCTTGCTGTTTTGTTGATTTGATACAGTTGATAAGGATGGTATATGTTTGTGATGTAAGCTTATTGATCGAAATTGATGGACATTGTGTAAGTTGTATTATAGAGTTGATGTGTGTGCTTAATCGATTACAATAGCTTAATGAAAGTATGAATTTATTTGTTTTATGGATTCATCTCAACTGCTTACAACCTAATAACAATAGTATTATTAGTTAAGAAAAAAGGCAAATATTATCTTCAATCATATACTGATGACATTACTTTTCTACTTCTAAAGATTCTGTTCCTACATTCTTCTCGGTGTTTCCTTCTGGAATATTTATATATTTTAACAGTTGAATTCATGATTCGATCTAAACTAAACCACCATTGCAAACAATCGATGAAGAGTCGATGACTCGATCGAAGTTAGACATTAACACCATTGGATGCCGGCTCAATGGTCTAGAGGTTAGACTCTCGTGCGCGAGATCGAAAGCCCTGTGTTCGAGTCCCGCGGGCAAGATCGTAGATGTGCACAGGCGAGGATTTCCATATTAAGACATAACAGCCATCCAGTGCTTCCAGGTTTTCAATTGTAATCTAGTTTGAATCGACTCATGAATTCGACTATCATAATTACTACAATCTACACAAATCCCTATTCTGAAAGTATATGTTTCACTTATAATTAGATAACCGTATGAAAATTTAGACACGTTCTGAATTATCTCGTTGTTTATATTCTTCACTGAATTCTGATTAGTCGTTGATGTTATATGTGAACCCTATGTAGATTGTCTCGATATAGCCATTTTGTGACAATTTTTATAGGATCGGATATCGACGGGATCATTGAAAACCTAAACAATATACACAATAGTGACAGTCTGGACTCAGTATCTCAGTGGATAACTTTTCGATCTTTTGAGGTAAAAGATACTGTGTCTGAGTCCTGATATAAACACCAACCCTGGGATGTACAAACATCTAGCTGATAAGACACAATTGGGATAAGATTCTCATGTAGATTCCACTGCTATTCACAATAAATGAATTTATAATTTTATTGTGCAACGAATTTTAGTCTACATATAGGGAAAATTAAGTGAAACAACCATGTTCATTTAACAGTCCTGTGTTTTATTTTTCAGAAATTCTATTTCATTAGTACTTCAAGTACCTTGAGTACCAAATATCTTTTAAACAGTGTATTATACTTATTAGATGTACAAGTCATATTGTCTTCTTTAGTCAGTGAATATACAACTGGCAATTTATTTGATCTAGATAAAACTTAGGATGTCTTAACTTAATACACTTGACTACTTACTTACTTAATTACACCTGTTACTATTAATGGAGCATAGGCCGCCGACCAGCATTCTACAACCCACTCTGTCCTGGGCCTTCTTTTCTAATTCCATCCAGTTCTTGTTCATTCTTCTCATGTCTATTTCCATTTCCCGGCATAATGTGTTCTTCGG